CCCACCCAAAACTTGGATCCCCCCCTCTCCCCCCCTTTCCCTTTGGGAAACTTTTACCTTTGTGTGATTCTCCTTTGAGATCCTCTGATCAATATAAATGTACAACACTCTCTATCTGAAAACCAGTTTGTAGAGCCCCCCTTGGGTCTGAAAAAGAGAATCAGTGCCATGAGTTATGTAAAACCCCTTTGGGTGGTGGGCCACTTCTGCGTGTTTCTGCTATAAAACATGGTGTCTTGGTTACCTGCCCCTTTCTCCAGTACACCGGCCATCTTATTTTTCTTTTCCCCCCCGGGAAAAAGCAGTCCTTTCCAAAAAAATTTTTCTTTCCTGGAAGGCGGGGGGGTTTGGGGAAATTGAGGTTTCCCCTTACAGATATGGGGGGGGGGAACAACCAAAATACATCTAGGGTGCAATTGAAGGGGCCTTTTTTGGGGCTTTTTTCCACACAAGAAGCAAATGTTATCTGAAGGCGGGAATCATTGGCCAAGGGGGATTAAACATTCCTGCAATACATGATAAACCATGAAATGTTACTCGGCCTGTGTATTGGCTTCGCCTATTGTTAGTGAAGTACGAGAGAACTCCCCCTATCGGTGTCATTTAATGAAAGAAACCATGTTAAATGTTTTCTTCCAAATCCAAAAAGATGATCCCCTAGGTAGTACCCATCCTAATATTCCTGATTATATTGTATCCCTGCTATACAGAAACATGTGCGGCCACATCTCTCTATATATCTCTCTCTCTCTATTACCAACTCACCTCTGGTACAGTAAATATCTGAACACAATTCAAACAGAAGACCAACAGCTGTATCTGCTACTGAATGGTAATGCTATCGTGTCATTATCATTCCCAAAGTTCCCCTTGCAACATAGTTGTATCAGCTGTTGGTCCTGTCTGTAGATCTGTTATTTCCCCACCTTCTGTAACAGTGGTGACAATCCTGATCATTCTAGTAGGAACATTACACAGGCAGTGTTGTCACCCTGTACAGGGAAGTCTTGATAGATTATATGTAAGACACACAACAAGTAAAGTCCAACTCCAGCTAACTCTTCTACAGCAGTTACAGCAACAGGATTTATATAAGGTTCAACCCACCATGCATGAATGGAAGATTGACAGTTTGTAAGCACCCCAGCAGTCTTATATGGTGTTTCCCAACCATCCAACTTTCATTTTTTGCCAAATAGCTTGTGCCTTTTACAGGAAGCAAAAAAAACTGGGAGGGTCAACAGGTAATAAAAAAGTTACAAGGGGAGACTCGGAAAAACAAAAACGTTTATGCTAATGACAGATTGCACCATTTATGTAATTATTGATTTTGCCCATTGTTACACTGTGGCGCCGATGTCTTAACTCGTCCATTCAGAGTCATTAAGGTGAACCCCAATAAGAGGAATTTCAGTCTCCCAGAAGAAGTGGTAGGAATATGACCGCACACTTAGCACTTTGTAAGTTCAGATCTCTTGCAGTTGTACCGTGTGAATAGTTTATGGAGATGAGCAATAGCTGGACAGAAAAAAAAAAAAAAAGATAACAAAGACATCCAATCATCACCTGATAGAATCCCTTTTGAGAAAACCAGATGAAACACAAGTGGCCAGCTGGGATTAGGTGGTACTGTGTTGAATATGTCCCCTAAAACAGCATTAACTCCGTGTTGGAAGGCCTACACCAGCTTAAGAAGTTACTCTCTAACCAAACAGAGACCTCTATCTGGCTGGTATCTCAGCTACAGACCTGCCTGCAAAGCTGTCATCCATGAGAGGAGATGGAACATGGAAAGGAGGCATTGATCATGGGAGAGGAGGTGGAACATGTAATGGGGAGGTGTGGACAAGGTGGGCTTAGCTGGAACCCTCAAGCCAGCTTATGATGTATTAATTCTCAAAAGAACCTGGAATGGACTCTCCTAATGAGGTTTCAGAGGCGTGGCAAGAAGCCATTGGACCCCATCCTAGACTCTGGTACTGAGGCATTGTTGGTCGTGTATTGGTTGGTCAGATTCTGTCAATGAAGAAAACGCACGGGAACATAGCTCAGTTAGTGAATGATGAAAATGAATTACATGTTCAGTCAATGCTCCATAAAAAAAGATAAAGATGAGGAAAACAGTTCAGTCATTGCTGCTTATCTGAAAAAAAATGTCCATAGGTAAAATATTCACAGGCCTTCTAGGTGTGTTCCTGATGGACATAAGCACTAAACCCAATGCATCCGAACATTAAATTCCTGATTGTTCACAGATTTTTTTTCTAAGCAGCATTTTGTCTTTTTATGTCTTCCGTCGTTTGTGGGAAGACATTGGGGCTGTGAACCTAATGAGACAGCTTTAACCGCTTGCCGCCCTGCCACTGTGTTTATACGTGTGCAGGGCGGCAGTGGAGCGCAAAATCACGTTTAAAAACGGGTTCCGCGCTCCCGACACTTTCGCCGGCAGGGGGTGCGCGCGCTCCCGCCGACCCGCGGGTGACACTATTTGATCCAGGAGGGATCAATCATTAGATTTCAGCCAGTGATTTCTGGCTGAAATCACATGATCGGTCCCTGTCCTATCCTGTCCTGTGTTAATATTTACACAGGGCAGGATATGATGTCATTCTTCTCTGCCTGGACACATTCCGTTCCAGACAGAGAAGAAGACATCCAAAAAGTGAGTACACAAGCACTACACTACAGTTAGAACACTCTAGGACACATTTAACCCCCTGATCGCCCCCCCCCCTCCAGTTAACCCTTCACTGCCTTGTCACCAGTGTGTTACTGATCAGTGAAGCGATTTTTACTGATCAGTGTCGCTGGCGACTTCCGATAGAGTTAGCGCCCCTCCCAGATAGCGCCAGATTGCCCGCCAGTACACCAGTGATCCCGTTTAACCCCTTGATCGCCCCCCCCTCCAGTTAACCCCTTCACTGCCCTGTCACCCAGTGTCACTGATCAGTGAACCAATTTTTACTGATCACTGTATCAGTGTCGCTGGCGACTTCCGATAGAGTTAGCGCCCCTCCCAGATACCGCCAGTACACCAGTAATCCCGTTTAACCCCTTGATCGCCCCCCCCCCCCCCTCTAGTTAACCCCTTCACTGCCCTGTCACCCAGTGTCACTGATCAGTGAACCAATTTTTACTGATCACTGTATCAGTGTCACTGGCGACTTCCGATAGAGTTAGCGCCACTCCCAGATAGCGCCAGATTGCCCGCCAGTACACCAGTAATCCCGTTTTAACCCCTTGATCGCCCCCCCCCCCTCCAGTTAAACCCTTCACTGCCTGTCACCCAGTGTCACTGATCAGTGAACCAATTTTTACTGATCACTGTATCAGTGTCACTGGCGACTTCCGATAGAGTTAGCGCCCCTCCCAGATAGCGCCAGTTTTCCCGCCAGTACACCAGTAATCCCGTTTAACCCCTTGATCGCCCCCCCCCCTCCAGTTAACCCCTTCACTGCCCTGTCACCCAGTGTCACTGATCAGTGAACCAATTTTTACTGATCACTGTATCAGTGTCGCTGGCAACTTCCGATAGAGTTAGCGCCCCTCCCAGATAGCGCCAGTTTGCCCGCCAGTACACCAGTAATCCCGTTTAACCCCTTGATCGCCCCCCCCCTCCAGTTAACCCCTTCACTGCCCTGTCACCCAGTGTCACTGATCAGTGAACCAATTTTTACTGATCACTGTATCAGTGTCGCTGGCGACTTCCGATAGAGTTAGCGCCCCTCCAGATAGCGCCAGATTGCCCGCCAGTACACCAGTAATCCCGTTTAACCCCTTGATCGCCCCCCCCCCCTCCAGTTAAACCCTTCAATGCCCTGTCACCCAGTGTCACTGATCAGTGAACCAATTTTTACTGATCACTGTATCAGTGTCGCTGGCGACTTCCGATAGAGTTAGCGCCCCTCCCAGATAGCGCCAGTTTGCCCGCCAGTACACCAGTAATCCCGTTTAACCCCTTGATCGCCCCCCCCCCAGTTAACCCCTGCACTGCCCTGTCACCAGTGTCACTGATCAGTGAACCAATTTTTACTGATCACTGTATCAGTGTCGCTGGCGACTTCCGATAGAGTTAGCGCCCCTCCCAGATAGCGCCAGTTTGCCCGCCAGTACACCAGTAATCCCGTTTAACCCCTTGATCACCCCCCCTCCAGTTAACCCCTTCACTGCCCTGTCACCAGTGTCACTGATCAGTGAACCAATTTTTACTGATCACTGTATCAGTGTCGCTGGCGACTTCCGATAGTGTTAGCGCCCCTCCCAGATAGCGCCAGTTTGCCCGCTAGTGCACCAAAAAATCCCATTTAACCCCTTGATCGCCCCCCTCCCCCCCCAGTTAACCCTTCACTGCCCTGTCACGTTTCATTGATTACAGTGAACAGATTTTTACTGATCACTGTATTAGTGTCACTGGTGACTTCCGATAGTGTTAGCGCCCCTCCTAGATAGCGCCAGTTTGCCCGCTAATGCACGGGATTTTTTTTACCAAAAACATGTAGCAGAATACATTTTGGCTTAAATTTATGACTAACTTTGAGTTTACGATATATTTTTTTATAGCTGAAAGTAGAAAATATTGTTTTTTTTCAAAATTTCGTGTTTTTTTTGTTTATAGCGCAAAAAATAAAAAGCGCACAGGTGATCAAATACCACCAAAAGAAAGCTCTATTTGTGTGAAAAAAAGGACGTAATTTTCGTTTGGTTGCAGCATTGCATGACCGCGCAAATATCATTTGAATTAGTGCAGCGCCAAACAGCAAAAAAAGGCCTGGTCATTAAGGGGGGTAAATCCTCTGGGGCTCAAGTGGTTAACTTCTTTAATATTGCCCCTTCTTCTGGATTTTCATTTATGCAGCTCAAGCTTGTGAATCCTCTGGTGACAGATTAGCCCGGCATTACCTGTAAAAGCTTTGTCACATTCTGAACATTGATATGGCTTCTCTCGAGTGTGGATCCTCTGGTGTGTGACAAGATGTGCCATCCGTGTAAAAGCTTTGTCACATTCAGAACACTGATATGGCTTCTCCGGTGTGGATCCTTTGGTGTGTGATAAGATGTGACTTATGTGTAAAAGCTTTATCACATTCTGAACATTGATATGGCTTCTCTCCAGTGTGTGGACCCTCGTCATGTATGACAATGGGTGATCTCATGTATGACCTCCGTTTAAAAGTTTTATCACATTCTGAACACTGATATGGCTTCTCTCCAGTGTGAACCCCATGGTGTGCAATAAGATCTGACTTCTGTGTAAAAGCTTTGTCACATTCTGAACACTGATATGGCTTCTCTCCAGTATGAATCCTCTCATGTATGACAAGGTGTCCCCTCCATTTAAAAGTTTTTATCACATTCAGAACATTGATATGGCTTCTCTCCAGTGTGAATCCTCTGGTGACTGACAAGATGTGCCTCCAGTGTGTAAAAGCTTTGTCACATTCAGAACACTGATATGGCTTCTCTCCGGTGTGGATCCTTTGGTGTGTGATAAGATATGACTTATGTGTAAAAGCTTTATCACATTCAGAACATTGATATGGCTTCTCTCCAGTGTGGACCCTCTCATGTATGACAAGGTGATCCCTCCGTTTAAAAGTTTTATCACATTCTGAACACTGATATGGCTTCTCTTCAGTGTAAACCTTCTGGTGTGTGATATGTTTTGCCTCCATTGTAAAATCTTTGTCACGTTCCAAACAAGAAATCGCTTGAAATGACTCCTCTTATGTATACATGGGTTGGACTTTACTGTAAAGCAATTGTCACTTCCAGAACACTGAAATGACTTTTCTCATGTTGTCCTCTGAGGTTGGATCAGTGTTGAAGAGGACCCAAAGCACTTATGACATTTAGAACACGGATATGACTTGTGTCCTGTGTGACTCCTCCAGTGAACTGCAATAAAAACTTTCAGTCAATTACAACACCCAGATGTTTGGTTTCCCATGTGACTTAGTTGTATTCACGAAAACCAGCATGACCAAAAACGTGGTTCATCAATCCACCTGTACAAAAAAAAAAAAATAAAAATCAGAATTCTATATAAAAGGGCTAAAGTTGGTTTTTATTTTTAATGATCATTATTAAATATATCTATATATATCATCGCAGGCTGTGTCAGCATTATGGTTGTCCTCAAAGGGCCAGTTGTAACTGTAAGACTAGATGTCCAGAGCACCTCACCCCCCCATTAAATCAGATGCCAAGAACCCCACACCCTCTCTAACATCACCGTGCACCTCCTTTGGGGGCAGAGCTGGAAAGCAGAAAGTGCAGGGTCTGGAGGAGGACCAGAGGAGGAGTGGAGTCAATTACCAGAGTCTACTGAATTCTGAAATTCTGAGACCAAGGGAGGGGATACTGCAGCTGCACTGAGAGGTGCAGGATTTGGCAGAGGAGTCCTATTCTGCTCTCTGCTGCCGACTGCTGAGAAAAGGTGGGGGAGGAGACAAGGGGGTAACTGAAGGAGAGGTGCAAGGGCCACATGAAATAACTTAGAGGGCAGGATCTGGATACAGGTGTTTGACACCTGTGTTATATATATATATAGAAAGCATATGTACATCATCATTTGTGTATATATATATATATATATAATAAAAAAATTTAATTAAACTAAATTGTATTAAGTTTTTAAGTGCACACAGTATATCCAACATTCAGCCCAGACAATGGAGTCATACATTCTAATGTATAAGCAGTTGTGGCAATGTTACAGATCATACAGAACAATAACTTGCTTTGTCTCTGGTTTCACTGTTACCTTCTATAAACAAATGAAAAGAGAAAAAGAAGCAACGTAGAACAATTCACCTGTACATGGCAAGTAACTCTCTCCAGTACATACATAGATAGCTGACACCGTTCAAGTAGGCCTGTGTCTACAGGATCATACACCAAGTATCGGCCTCCAATGTAGTCACCATTTAGTAGGGTACAATTGGCTGGTCCATTTTTAGGGGCCTAAAAAAGTTAAACCTATGAAAAAAACCTATGACAAATGAAGTATGGGGAGTGAGTACCGGAGTATCCAGCCAGTTCTGCCAGAGAGCCATAAGTCTCCTAGGGGAAGTTAGGTTTTCATGTATTATTATGGGGTTCACCTGCTCAATCCATGCCTGGTGGGAGTATGAGTTGATAACCAGAATGCTTGGATTCGCATTTGCAGGTACGTTCAGAAAGTACATCTAAGGATCCAAAAATTGCAAGCTTAATCTCAGCTAGGGAGAGACTTTCATCAATCAATAAGCTCCTATATTATAACCCTTCACACAAAATCACAACTTTCTCCCTAGAAAGTATACAATCTAATAAATCCTTTTGTGGTACACATAAATCCCCAAAGTTATATTTACATAAATCCACACTCAATTCTATCTAAAAAATAAAATAAACCCAAAAAAAATCAAAATTATATATATATAAAAATTATATATAAAAAAAATTATATATGAAAATTGTGTTCAATAAACCCAAAGTGTCCAAGTTCCAAAAAAATGTTTTTCTTTCAATCCAATAAAGCAGAAATTGGTTCTAAGACTCCATGATCACCTCAAAGAAAAATAGAAAAAAAGAAAATTCATAGTGTATTACCCTTTCACAAAATGTATATATATATACTTCACTCTGTGCACAACACAAAAACACACTCAAAATCATTTTGTGCAAAATAAATCTATATATCACAATCCAAATAGGTGAATAAAATTAAATAAATAAAGTAAGTAAAACCCAAAAACGTGAAAAAAACGTGATCACTCCAATCACAAGTGAATAGTGATACTCGATTTCTCAATCCTTCATTTTCTTAGGTTTTCCTCCCAACTCCTCATAAAAGCATAAAAAGGCTCTTTTCATCTGATGAAGTCCGGAAGTGACGAAACGCGTTAGAGGAGTGACGTCATCACGCACGCACGCTAACCGGAAGTGTCGCCGTGGCCATTTTGTTGGTTGGAAACATGTGGTTTTCAACCTGAAACTTGAAAGAGGAATATAGGAAGCTGGATATCCCTGTTTTATATGTGAGTTGCTATTAAAATTTGTCCATTTTTATGGATTCTGCCTAAAGAGCCTTTTTATGCTTTTATGAGGAGTTGGGAGGAAAACCTAAGAAAATGAAGGATTGAGAAATACGGATCTCCTATGTCAGTTCATGCTTTAAAATACTGCAAGAGGGTAAAAGTACCTAGCATCGATTTTTGGCTGGAGTTTAGAGGGTACTAGTACCTAGTATCACTATTCACTTGTGATTGGAGTGATCACGTTTTTTTTCACGTTTTGGGTTTTACTTACTTTATTTATTTATTTAATTTTATTCACCTATTTGGATTGTGATATATATTGGATTTATTTTGCACAAAATGATTTTGAGTGTGTTTTTGTGTTGAGCACAGAGTGAAGTATATATATACATTTTGTGAAAGGGTAATACACTATGAATTTTCTTTTTTTCTATTTTTCTTTGAGGTGATCATGGAGTCTTAGAACCAATTTCTGCTTTATTGGATTGAAAGAAAAACATTTTTTTTGGAACTTGGACACTTTGGGTTTATTGAACACAATTTTCATATATAATTTTTTTTATATATATTTTTATATATATATAATTTTGATTTTTTTGGGTTTATTTTATTTTTTAGATAGAATTGAGTGTGGATTTATGTAAATATAACTTTGGGGATTTATGTGTACCACAAAAGGATTTATTAGGGAGAGACTTTGTTCAATTAAAAGAAAAATGTCAAAGACAAGTGAGAAAATGTAAATGAGAAGCTGAGAGAAGAGCTAAAAAAACACAAACCCCCCCCCAGAGATCTATCCTAAAAATTCAATCTAAAATGTAACAATTACACCAAGAAAACCCTCAACTGAGGGAAGAGATAATGACACCAAAGATACAAAATGGAGCTCAACAATCAGGAAAGAGAATCAAAGAGGATGATTTATACAAAGTACCCATCAAGGAACAACAGACCGGTGAGACCAATCAGCTTCCGAAATGTAACAAGACAAAGACCAGCAATAGCCAAGACAACTCTACTAATCCTGAGACCACAAATAGTGATGGCCGAACACCCCCCTGTTCAGGTCGCGGTCAAACATCCGAACCTACAGAATGTTCTACAATGAACGTCGAAGAGGAGGAACTGAGAGGTGTCTTACCGCATCTGAGTATGAAGATACCGCTCAGTTACTAATATCGGCATATCCGGCATGAGTTCTATGATGAAGTCACGCGGTATTTTAGTAGTGAGACATTCATTCATGTTCCTGGTGTCAGTGGGGTTTCCTGCTGACAGCTGAATGTCAAAAGAATTGTCAGCATTGCCCAGCAATTAAAAAAAAAACCCAGCTTGTTGTCCCCCCTCTCATCCATACCAAGCACTTCGAGACTGGTATGGATTTTGAGAAGAACCCTCTATGCCAATTATTTTTTTATAAATGGCATGGGGGTCCCCCAAAAATCCATATCAGGAGGTGAGCACCCCCTCTCCTGAACCATACCAGGCCACATGCCCCAACATGGTGGGGTGCCTTGGGTCGGGAGCCCCCCAAAGCACCTTGTCCACATATTGATGGGGACAAGGGCCTCTTTCCCACAACTGTAGCCTGTGGTTGCAGGGGTCTGTAGCCTGGGGGGCTTATTGGAATCTGGAAGCCCCCTTTAACAAGGGGGCCCAAAGATCCTGGCCCCCCCGCCTATGTAAATGAGTAGGCGGTATATGGTACTGCTACCCATTCACAAAAAAAGTGTAGAAAATGACAGGAGACAGTCTTTAACAAGTCTTTATTGAAAATAAACATTTTAAAAAATGTCCCCCAAAGTAGATTCAACGTCAATCACGATCCTGCCACCATCGCTACCCAAAAAAGGGGAAAAAAGCTCTGCTTGCTATGCTGGCTCCTAGCTGTCTGACAGCTGCACCTGTGACAACAGTTTTTATATACCCCGCCCCCTTGTGACATCACCACGCACTGTGATTGGTCAAAGTATTACACCTGACTTGTGGTTAGGTGCATTGCTTTGTCCTATCACAATGCACTATCAGGGCGCAGTGCATTGTGGGGCATGGTGGGCAAACAGCCCACTGAATGCCCATACTGTTTGTGTTTGCTGAACACACGAACGGCCCATGTTCAAATCAAACTTAGGTTCAACTCGACCATGAAGCCCATCCCTACAAACAATCAATCATCAAACCACAAGAACAGCCAACAAACTCCGGATTCTTATTGTTATTAATAGACTCCAATGGGAAATATCTAAACACCAAACGGCTCTTCCCAGGAACAAGAGACAACAAAATTCAA